AGAATCCAGAAGTTGGCAAAACTTTCCTCTGGGTGAAGAAAGAGGAATGAGACAAGTGATGGAGCATGTCCTGTTGTTTTTGTCCCCCTCGCCTAAGACCAGTGCATCCTAATCCACTCTTTTTATTGTATCGGAGGCAATATAAATATGGTAGAAAGAGAGGAAGCAGGTTTGTTACGAAGTGATAAAGAAAGGATTTTTCAAATAAGTCTGGACCAGGTTGGAAAATTCATTTTTTGAATCAATTCTTTTAAAAACAATTTTATGTAAGATGTAGAAGCTTTGAGCATAAAGTCCATGAAGAGAGATGTTAGCACAACCTTCACAGCTTCCAACACAACAGGAATGTAATGGGCAGTACTGGCAGTACTGGTGGAAGGAATAGACTGATGAATTCCAGCAACAGCAGCACTTCAGTGGCTGTAAAGCACGGATTTTGGAGGATGGAAACACATTAGGCAAGTGCTATGTACTTTCACTAATCTATCCCAGCACAATCTATCATGCATCTCCTTTTCTTTGGATGAAATCGCATTTTAGCAACATCAGCACAAATATTTGGAAGAAGATGGAGAAACATATGGCTTGCAGTACTTCACCGACAAATTGCTTCAGCAGAAAGCAGGCCTTTTCATTTACCTTCTCAGCCAATCCTTAGAGTTAATCACAGCAACTAAGTGCCACTGCTGTGCCATATGGAAGCACAGCTAACTGTGTTACAGAAATTTAAGCTCTGGAGAGTCCCACGAATTATGAGACCTGGGAGTGTACATTTAATAGTCAGGCAGGAACACTTCACAAAAAGAGAGGAAAAATTTGCACATTCCTTGAATCTTACTCTTTCCAAGACACCCTCTCTTTTGGCTTAGGCTTTCACCTCATATGCTCCTTCATATATCACTGTGCTCCATAAGTTTTAGTTACTTGATAGAGTAGGCAGCAGTAACACTGAGAATGCAGTCCTGATCACACTGAAATCAGTGGCAAGGCTCCAGTGGACTATGGCAAGCCAAATTTTCTCTTTTAATGTGGATTCAATCCTATGAAAAATGTTGGCTTAAAAAGACAAAAATCCTCTTCTGCTGTCTTTCTAAATATTACAGGAAAATGCCACAATTGGATCCCTTTTCTCCAGTTTCTTGCCATTATAATGAATTATTGGATTGTGTTGTGCTTCAGGGTTCCAGGCCTAACAGGATTGTCTTGGCAGCTTTGCTGTATCTTCACTTTAATCAATTATGTAATCAAATTGTCCTTCCTCCGCCAGTGCTCTATAGATCTCTCTTGAAATGATTAGAAAAGATTTAGAGGATACGAAGTGCCCTCAGTGAAAACATAACTCCAAAATCTCATTACCATTCATGAGGAATATTCAGAACAGGGCTATTTAAACGAGGGACCTAAGTCCCAATTTGGACAGTTAGTAAATTTTTTCCAAACCTTATGAGAGGGAGTTAAGGTCTGTTAAGGTTTGTCTTATCTAACTTTAGCCATCTCTGCTGTAAGTATCCTCACACTACCTTTGACACTGGGACAGGCTCCCTGGGGCAGTGGTCACGGCACCGAGCCTGCTGGAGTTCAAGAAGCATTTGGACAATGCTCTCAGACACATGATCTGGTATTTGGGTGGTCCTGTGTGAAGGCAGGAGTTGAACTCAATGATAGTTGTGGGTCCCTTCCAACTCAGGATACTCTATGATTCTGTGAGCTTACTATCTGTTGCTGTGTATGTAGTGAGGGGAAATAGGCAATTTTAAGGCGCATCAATAAGTTCACCTGTTTACATCTCTACTTCAGGATGAGATGGATTATTCCTTGAGAATGCCTATGTCTTGCCAATGACTAGAGATGGAGCCTAAAAGGTAAATATCAGCCTGGTAAGTATATTTAGTTAGGTGAGATTAAGTGCCTCTGTGATCAGCTGCAGGAGATCACATATTTGTCCCAGCTCTTGAGGGACAATTTCAATTCCCACAATAGCTCCCAAATGGTGAACCACAACTAGGTGGCAGAAATGAAACCACAAACATTGATTCCTAGCTGACCTTGGAGACGTTATGCAGTAGACATGGCGGAAGCTGGGTGGTCTTTACCACACATGGTTGATAGATAGAAAAGAATGGATACAGAGGAGAATCAAGCTAATTTAAAAATTTGTGGAGACATACAAATACGTGCCCTAACCACATAAAATTGTAAAACTTGAAATACACTGCTGATTTTTAACACTAGATGGCAACAGTACACATTAGAAATAATCTTCTCAAACAGTAAAAATAAACGTAAAGAATGAGTACAATAAGTAGAATAAAGAGAGTTAGAGGGATTAGTTTTCAGAATAGATTTTTAAATGAAATTAGAAAAGAAAAAAAAAAAACAACAAACAAACAAACAAAAACACATTTAGACTATTTTACGGTTCCTCTAGCAAGATATGTAGAACCTAAAAGACTTCTGATGTGAACTTAGTAGACCTATGTTTGAGAAGCTTATAGTTTGGTGAGCTTTGAGATAGAATCTGCCCCCTCATGAAGGAATATTTATTGCAGGTTTACCAATCTAAACAAAGGTTACATGTAATTTTTACTAACTGGATGACTACCGAGGGTCTGAAGGTCAAAGGCTCTGCTTCTTTTCTCCTCAACTTCCTGAACAAATCAATGAATACATAAAGCTTGAGAGCAGTTTTGTGATCAAATAGATTCACAGAATTTACAAATTTTCACTTCCAGCTCTGCAACAGAGGATAGTAGCCAGTACACTATATGACTCATTTAATTAAAAAAAAAAAAAAGTTCAAAGGACGGAAAGGCTGCAGAGAGATGCTATCATGGCATTAGTTTGGGAGGAGAGATCAGAGCTGCACTTCTTTTTTCACAGTGATCCAAAAATGAGCCTTTTTGTTTGGCTGATGTCTTTAGCCAGTGCAGAGGAAGAGAAGGATGTGAATTTTTGATGTTGGCAGCTCCTTTTCCTTTCCCAATGCACTTGGGATACTGTGTTGCGGAGGTAGTGTAGCTCCGCCTGTATGGGACTTCACAGCTGAATGGGGAATCTTCTGCATTCCTCACTGCTCCTTGGTTTAAGGATAATTTCTCTGAATATATCTTTCTCTTTGTGGTGATTTTTGGGAAAAAAAAAATTCTCCATCCCAGCTAGGCCCAGTACACTCTTATTTGAGAGTTTCTGAAAGGTGTTGTTTATGGAGCTGTCAATAACTGTCAATATCCCATCACTGCTGATGAGCCATTAGCTTGTGATAGCACAATAATTCCCTGCAGTAAATGGGAATTTAGGATGGTTATGGAATAGAAGAAATGACTCTATAAGGATTACTGAAATGTGAAGTAAACTTTCTAGTCTATGCACAAATATATTCTATTCCTACAATTTTGAAAAAAAAAATCCAATTTCTTTGGTAGAATGTTCTTGTGAGCTATGGACAAATTTCCTGTAGAACAAAGTGGGCTCTGAGTGCATCAGCATACTGCAGAATTTTCTGCAGGATTAAAACCAGAGACTTGCTCATGGCTTCACAATAAACGACCATAAAAATATCTTTAAATAAATGTATAATATACATATGTGCTTGTCCTTTTGTGTATGTGTGTGAGCTACCTGCTTTTTGGTATAAAATCATACACCAGTGTAATGATCTGGAATTTAGGCACTGAGGTTGTCTTCCAAGCTGCAAGATCTGTATCAATATTGTCTTTTAAGTGTACTCTTCCTTCTACCTTCAAGCAAGAGCTCACTAAGCATCCACTTTATCTATATTCAGGTCTATGCTATGGACAGATAATGTGTGTACCCAGGATTCTGGTTTTGAGCTTGCCAGTGGGTAATTTTGATGAGAGAAATTCTGTAGCATCGAGAACTTGCAAACTTTTAACCCAGTCTCAAAGGTTTAAAATCCACAGGATAAATTCCAGTTCTCATGTGACTGTGAGGTGAGGTTTGTCCTAAGGGAAATATTTTTGGAGGAGAGAAACAATGACCTTTCTTTACTGTTAGGTGAATATGGTAACTTCATAATTCACAGATGTGGAATACGAGGCAGAAAGATTAAGTGAACTGCTCAAGGCTATAAAGAAAATTTTGTATCAGAGCCCAGATCAGAAGGAAGGAACTGCTGACTCCCAGTGCTATGCTAAGATACCTCTCTCTGTTACAATAGGTCTATAAATCATCCTAAAAGCCAACAGCAATGCTTTATGATTCTCAGCACTGCAGATGCTATTAGTATTGTTGAGAAGGAAGGTTTTTTTTTTTATGAATGTGCAGTAATAATCATTCTTAACTCTTATAAGCATTTATTCACGTTCAAAGCACTTAAAATCTAAATCCAGTAAAACTGTGCTGTGTCAACCCTGCCATCCCAGAACTGTCTTTGGATATGCTTTTATCTAAAAATAAACAAATCCTATTATTATTATTGTTTTATAAAGTATAGTTTCCAAAGCCTGTGAAAATGATCTTGCAGGCATGTCAGCCTCTTGATACTGTCTCTCTTTTCCATCCTTAAGAGATATTTAAAAGGCATGGTCAGTTTTTTTCATGGCAACAATACACATATGCAGAAAAAATAACCTAATGTGAACTTTTGTATTTCAGGACATATCTCCATTTGATTCTGAATGATAACATCTGCTTATTTTCTGTCGTCTTCCAGATAGGAACAATTTTCTTGTCCTTGTCTGCTGAATAATGTGTCTATATATGAGACAGATTCTGCCTAATCACGCTTCTTCAGACAGCCAGAGCAGAGGACTTGAGGTGAAGCTCAAATGATCCTTTTACTAGGGAAGGTAGAGAACCTAGGATGTCTGGGAAGAGCAGAAAGACTTTCCCAGGTGCTGTAAATCTATGTTCCAGAAACTCTTTCTGTGTCTCTACAGAAGGGGATTTTCAGGTTGAACAAGGGCATAACTACTGAATACGTGCCTACATGAGATTCTCTCTTCTTTGGTGCAGACAGCACATTAACTCTTAAGCTTGCACATCTCAGAGGACAGTGATTCAACAGAATGCATGCTAAACATAAAGCACGTGCAAATTCCTCAGATGCCAGTGGGATTTTAGCATATGCTAACTACTGTACCTGCCTTATCTAAAGCCTTTAGTTGCATAGCAGTATTTTACTGTTGCTCTACAACTTGCAGAGAATATTACAGTTCCCAGAACCTGCAGGACATAGCTGGCTTCCCAAGGCTCTGTGCTGGGACCTGAGGACTTGGACTGTAATATTTATGGTAAAACAAGAGGAAAATATTTTGGCAGTATCATGGGTATTTCTTAACACAGCTGACTAAAGATGACAATATGATAATTTGAAAGTAAAATAGAGGTAAAAACAAACACCACATGCTTGAACTGATGAGGTATGGTAAAACAGAAGAAGATTAAGATTACTGTCTTAAGGTCAAATTGTCTAAATGGCTATATCATGGAACCATATATACTGCTGTATGCGAAGGCACCTATAATGTAAATTAAACTCCAAACCGAGGAGTTACGAGGTATAGAGCATTTCTGTTGTGGCAGTTCTATATTACTTGAGGGTTGTTTCTCTGCATAGATTTAACTGGATCAGAGTAGAGGGTTTGCTGTCAAGAGGCAGGTCACTGCAGATGGAACAAAATGCAGCATCTGCTCTTGAGCTGTGCCACTGTTGAACTTCTCTGTTGAAGAAAAAAGTGCTGAGGAGAAGCTGTTTCCAGCATATAGTTTCACTTACACTCTGTACTAGCACTGTCATTGTTTGTGAGGAATAACAATGAAGCCGTTCTAAGCTTGAGACTCCTTCTGCTTTATTCACTTTCCCATCTGCTAAGATCAGCTGGATCACTTTGGTTGACAGTTTCTAGAACATGTCGATTTGAAGTCAAAAGGCACACTCCTTGAGGTCACTGCTGGAGCAAGCTGTTGCAGAGAACCTCGCTCACAAGTAAGCATCAAACATGAAAGAAGTCTAGTAAAATGTCATCCAGATTCAGTAACCTCTGAAATGACACCATTAATTGTTGGGTGACTGATGTCTCAGACAAAAATCCCACCATGTTCCCTCATCCGGAAAAAAAATGAGCTTTCTGTGTTGTTAGTAGGTTTCCATTTCACTTTCAGACATGAGCTCATGCAGATACTTAACAGGAAAATCTGTACAGGCTTGTTTGCTTACAAATAAATACCATAGCTCATTAGCTTGATGTCCTCAGAAAATCACTTTTAACGAAGTGTGATTTTTTTGTTGTTGTTGTTTTAATCATAAATGAAGTCCCATATTTTTCATTAAAATCACATGCTGCATCCCAGATCCACTTTCACTAGAGAGAAAAATGTAAACGTTTTTTTCCTTAATCAGTTCTTTGTATATAGCTAACTGCTTAACTAGCCTCCTTGAACTATCACTGTTCACATCAATCATATATATAATGTCATATTTTCTTCTTCATTTAGCCATTATCTCAATGACTTTCCTTGATTAATTGAGGTTCTGTGGGTCACCATCACATGGTTTGATTTAGCATAGGTATTCTCTGTAAAGCTACCTTTTCTCTGGAAGAATTTACATATGTGCATTCTTGGTAATGTTACTTCTTATATGTGTTATAAAATCTGCCCATAAACATTTTAGCATAATGCAATGTGTCAAGCATTTTACGCTCCTTAGGAATTATCATTAAAAGGTTTAAATACTAATTTAAGAATATTTCTCTAATTTAGTGTAAGCTTTCTTTTTTTAGTAACTTCATTGTTGCAGCTGCTCCAAGACACTTCAGAAAGTGTTCTTAACAAATCCCAGCAAGCAAGTGGCTTACATCCACCCAGCTCATTGAGAAGAAACCAATCTTGTAGATAATGCTTGTGATTGTGCAAGTCTGATCCTGCTGTCCTTCACGTGGAACAGACATCAGTGCAAGTCCATTAGCCATTAATTCAGGTATTAGGTACGAGTACTCTCCACCCCAGAAGTGGTAATACATGTATAGCCCAGGAATTAGCAGTGAATGACAACCCCAAAATGAGGGGAAGGCCATTGAGCCAGTGAAAGTGAAGGTGAAAAGCTGATAAAAAGCGTGTTCCTAAATATTTTAACTTGTGAAATAAACCAAACGTTTCTCTGAAAAAAGCTGAAATAGTAGTTACAAAGAATGGCTTGGAGCCTAATTCCATTGACTTTATCCTGGATATGTAAATTGTTGCCTGTTTTGAGTAGTATGATATTCTTTATTTCCTTATCAGACTGGCTTGAGCTGTGACCATTAATCAAATGCCAGAGGCAATTCCAGAAAGCCTTTATATCTGTAGTGAAGAATGATGGATAGTTCATAAAATATTTAGGCATCCTTCACAGAGAAAAGTGCTGTTTAGGTGAGTGTTATTTTTATTATGGTAGGTCGATACGGTTTGTATATTAAGAAGAGTAACACAGGAATTGCTTAAACAATGTTAAATCTGCTATCCTGTTATTACCATGTTTAATCACCAGATGTTTCAGAAGGGGATTTAATCAAGTTCTTAATACAAATATAGCTTTACTGTCATTTCATGGATTAAATCCTTCACATAACACTAATATTAAACTATAAATATGTAATCAATATAAATCATCAGCTTCATGAAGCGAATGTAAAAATGCCATCAGAAGAAGACCCCCAGCAAATATGAAAGTTAGGACTGGATGAACAATATTTTCATCACTGCCCATTATTACGGATTTATCATACTTCTATGATCAGGCAGTATTCTTGGCTATCCATTATGTTTCTGTTTATATCTATCAGAGCTGAAACTTCCAGACTATGTCTACACCATGAGGCTAAATACAGACAGGACACTCCATTGCCTATCCTGTTAATGGTTAGCCTGAAGCCTGGCAAAATTTTGTCCCATTAAAACCAGCAGCCTCCCAGTGATGCCTAGGCATAGTTTGCTCAGCACGGGCTAGGGAGGCAGTCAGGCTGTGGATATTCTGTTTTGGGACATAAGAAAATTTAGCTGTATGCCTGCAGGCTGTTTGTGATACTTGGCTAGTCTAGTGGTAGAGAACAGTCTCTGGAGTTTTTTTATTTACTAATACAGTCATAGCTTAAGTGTCAGGTAGTAGCCACCTGCTGGTTTTTGTTTGTTTGGAAAATTTCACTAAAAACACAGAAACTTATTACAAAGAAGAGGGGAAAAGAGAAATGTAGTCTTCTTCCCAAGGTAAAAGACACTGACAGCTTTTTTCTTTTTCTTTTTTCAGACAGAAAAAAAAAAAAAGTATAAAGTTCTTATGCCTTTGAGGCAGGTTGGTTGCCAAAGGGGCATTTAACACTTTTGTCAAGCCTCCAGCTCTTAAAAAAAGATAGTCAGAAAACAAGAACACAGTGATCATCTGTAAAATACTTACCTAAAAGGAAGCCTGGCATCACACAAGAGCTCTGTGGAAGAAACAAAGTAAGAAAACAACTTGGGGGAGGCTGGAAGCCAAAAGGATAAGCAAAAGATTCAGTTACCTTAAGCCTGAGATCAGCTTTTTCTGTTCCAAAGTACCCTGCCTCATTCACTAGAGACCTTTTTATTCCCTCAGGAAATGAGACTGCTTCCCACAAGAGCCTTCAGAATTCTGCCTTGATTTGATCCTCAGCACAGCTGGGGAAGAACTGTATGCAGTATGTAATTAAACATTGTGCTAAAGCAGACATACAAGAGAGCTTAATAATGTTATCCACACGATACGGAAACAGATATGTCACACTGTTGGTACTGGTTTTGTTACTATAGATAAAATTTGCTATGATTAGAACTCTATTGCATGAAGTCAAGTCTCAGCACTAAAGCAGGTTGATTATTGCAAGATTTTTATCACACGCTCTGATAAACAGAATTGCTCTGATGCTCAGGCTATAGTTTCATCTTGGTTCACCCAAGCTGTTCCATTATGGAAAAATTCTTTATCTTCTTTAAAAGTTTTACTCTCTTTCCTGCTCTTACAGTTCCAGATCTGTCACAAAAACAATAAGCTTGGGGCATCTTGTTTTCTTTGAAAACAAGCTCAGCTGTTTGCACTGCTGAGCTATTGCTTACTGTAACTGTCAACATGTAATAGAGTATTTTCAGTGCATTTTCTAAATCTGCTTGTGCTTTGATGCTAACAGAGAAGCAAGAAGAGATTAGACAGTGTGACTGCCTTTGAAGCAGACTGCAAGACCTCCCTGTTTGGTAAAACCACCATTACTAATAAAGACGGGGAAAGCAAAAACCAAGTGGTATTTCTTAGATGGATCAGGAACCAAGCTTCCAGTGAGTTCCATTTGTAGAGTGAAATAGAAAATGAAAACGTCAGTGAAAATGTCAGCTTATATTAAGGGAGGAAAGTGTCGAAAAATATAGGATTACAGAAATAATATTGACTATAGAATATATTAATTACCAATCTTAAATTTTACAATGTCTACTGTCACAGTCTTTATTCCATTTCCTTGTATAAATGCTGTTGGTCCTCTTTTTTTTTTTTTTTTTTTTTCTTGTATTTTCTATGGAATTTCAAATTAACAAACGTATTTTCTTCAATGCATTCTGTTAGCTTGTCTGTGAAAAGATTAAGACCTACATTTTTTATTTTTTTTTAACCCCAGTTCTGGGACACCTGAACACAGGGTAGTGTGAGCCCTGCATTATTAATAGCAGTTTCCATATATATATACATATTTATTTATTTATTTTTTTCCAATGACAGTGGTATATGAAAATAAAAGGATAATTTCCACCATGTAGAGATCTCATGTAGCTGAGAAACAGGTTTTCAACCAACCTTTTCACTGTTACCCATTCAGTCATTAAACATCACCTGTTTAATTTCTGAGATCAAAAGTCCAAGAGAAGGAATCTATCTGAGCACGGCTCTGTGGGAATTCAGGAACTGCAAAGCCTCAATCTGGTCAATACCTTCTACTTTTTTTTTTTTTTTTTTTTTAATCTTTTCCCAAATATTAAAAAGAAGTACAAATTAAAAAAAAAAAAAAAAAAAAAAGAGAGAGAGAGGGGGGGGGGGGGGGAGGTAAAAAAAAAAAAGGTTATATTCAATGTAAAACCTTCTAAAAGTGTTTGCAGTCACGTAAGGCCAGGGGGGTGGGGAAGAAGATATTTCTGGAATAAAAGTTGAATTCTTATGGTATATGCAGCTACGTGGTATCTTGCCTACTGAAGGCTGAAAAATAAGGAAATCATTAGTTTCAGCATCTTTTGAATGCTCTGATGCATGCTAAGAACTGCATTCATTACTGAGTCATTCAGACCTAGCTAAGGATAAAGACATCTTCACAGCACCTTTCATCTTTACCTTCACTTTTCTGCACTTTGTCTTCCCAAAGAGTCATTGAGTTCCAGCTCAGGACTATCCCTGTGCTGCTGCTGCTTGTTCTGTTACAGCCTTTGATGAGTAGAGCCTGGTTACACTTCAGGCACATGTGGCAGGGTAGGAAGTGTAGGTAGCAAAACATACCTTCTCTTCTTGACAATTACCAAGTTAACTCAGGTAAATAAACCCCATGTCAGCTCTGACTTCCTGCAAAAACAGTGTTTGGAAAAAAGATGCCTCCTTACAAGCAACAAAGAAGTTCTCTAAAAATTTTTCCTTTTTTTTTTTTTTTTTTTCATATCAGTCACTTTTTCTTGGCTAAGCAGTACCGAGTGTGCAAAAGCGGAGGCAGGACATGGAATTTAAACTATTTTCTTTTATCTGCTTGCTATCTTACTTGTTGACAAATATTCCATTGCTGACAACTGAACTATTAAACATTAGTTGAAAGGAAGAAAATAAGTACAAATTCTCTTTTCATTACTTCAAGAATTTTCCATATCACTTAGTAATATAATAGCCATCTTTATAGTCTTGCATATCCTTATTAATACTCCTATAAAGTAAGGAAAAGTTATTATCCTTGTTTTACCAATGAAATGTAACCAGAAAAGATTAAGCTGCTTGTTGAAAGTTACACCAAAGCAGTAACAGAACCAAGTTCAAAATTCTAATTTCTTAAGTCTCCATCCAGTTCCTTAAGAATAAATTTCCTTTCCTGTAGCCAATTTTTCTTCCTCTCTTTTCTCACAATTTCAATATTTTAGCCAGTTATCTAAGTTGTAGTTGGTGTTTTTGGTGATTGCAAATAGACATATAATTTATTTTTCAATCATAAATAAATTAAAAGAGGTAAGCTTTATAAAAGGAAAACACAAATAAAATTAGAAATAACATTGTAATGGATATGCCATTATTTTTACCTGAGATTATTTTTTTCTTTCTTGAAAATATGTGGGGACAGGCCCACACCCATCAGAACATGTTTTCCATTTTGGTTATGAATACAATAGTTTAAGAGATACAGACTTACTTCTCATTCTAAAAAAGTATATCCAACACTGATATTTTCACACTGAGAGAGAAGACAGGCACAGTATAATCAAGTGATCATCAAGCTTTAATATCTCAGGAAAAAAATCGTAAGCTAATCAGTGAAAGGTCTCTGTGAAGGGCATGCAACAGTGTCTCTCAAAGCCACTTTTGGTTCAGTTCTTGGAGAAAAACACCAGCTCCTTTTTTCTGCATAGGAAAGGACTACCCCAAATACTCAGCTGTAAGTCTAAATCAAAGTTCCAAAATTCTGATTTAGGTTTGGCAATTTAAATGTTTTCATGAATATCTTGAGGGATGGAGGAGCATTTGTGGATAACAATTAGCCACAAGTTGCATGGAACAGCAGAAACATCTCATGTAGCTGCATGTGTCTTAATAACTCTACTTTGATTCCAGCACACAAAAGGTGTGTTTCCCCACCTTGGGTGAAAAGTCAGGGTGAGATGGAAATCTCTAGCATTCATTGTTGGGCTGGTTGGTATTGAGATACATAGACCTGAGCTACATCAAATTCATGCTTCTGGGTGGAACTAACTATAAATATGTATGTTTTGGATTTTTGTCTATGGACAGTAGCTTGCACCCAGAATTGGGAATGGTTTTCTTAGGTACATAATCACAGGCATTTTCTTTATTCAGTAATAAAAGATACTTGGAATAAGGGAGTATGAGCCCTGAGTTTAAGTCCTTGCTGCTAGCACTGGTTCTCTGGTAGGTGTAGGACTATCACTGGGTGAATTCCTCTTGCTCTCTGTGGAGTTAGACTATGAGGAGCTTTTTATGTGCAGCCTCATTCCTACAGCACTCCACTGGGATGGACCTGTATTCAGGCTTCCTGCTTTCTGGGCCTTTCCTCCTTTGGTTTTGCTTTGAAAGAAACCTGCCTAGTAAATACTGCCTAGTAGTTGCTTAGGAGATAGTACTGAGCTGTGGATTGCCGGTACTACATCCCTGTGGGTCTCAGCCAAGGATCCAACTCCAGAAAAGGGGAGACGTAAAATCTGCTCCAGCAGAGTCCTATTGATTAGGTGTAGGCAATTGCATTTCATTTTAAATACCCTTTATAGACGTTTAGCTCTCTACATAAAGAACCAAATTGTAAAATGTGAGTTCCCATTTCCAGGACCTGTTATCAAATATTTAGGTTCCAGTATCCACTGTTGGGTAAGGTCTGTGGGCTTCGGACCAAAGTATAAAAGTCTGTGCACTTTTCAACTTTTCAGATAACGGGTTTCTTTTCCATTGAATCCAGTGAGTCAGTAAAATTGGGAAGCACATTCACATGAAGTATGACTCACATTTTTAATTAAAAAGTTGGCAAAAATAATACCAGATTTTTTTTTTTTTTTGTAACATTCATTTTGCAAATTGTATTCAACGTCTGCCAAAACTTCTGTCATTACTGTTGGTTATTTAGTCCCATTAGCAATATTTCTTTTGGTCTACTGGATCTTAAGTGCTTACTTTTCTAGTCACATGGGAGTGATGCGCTCAGGTAACTCCCCTTCTTATGAACTGGAATAAAGGGCCTAAGCCAGGTGCACAGTTCAGTAAATTTCACTTGGAGCTGTAGTGATTTAGTACCTTCCCAGAACTGCATGCATGTAGTTCTTACATAGCCAAAAGAGAACAGGCACCTTTAAGACTTAAATTTCATAAGTTTTTAAGCCAAAAATTGGAGTTATGAATGTGCCTTTGTAATTCAGACCTCTCCATGTCTTCTTGGTATGGCTTTAGAATAACCTCTGACAATTGCATTAATATCAAGTGCTACAATTTGTCTTATATTTACTGGAATTTGTCCAGGGCTTCACTATGTTTTTCTTTCATAATTCAAATGATGGAACGTTAGAAAAACCCAGGAAGAAGAAAGATTTAATGAAAAAAGACCAGTGAAGTGTCTTGTTATTCTGCTATTTGCTTGCACACACAGATAATACCTAAATATTTAATATATCTCATTCAGATGAAGACAAAATACAGCTTGCAAGCTGTAGGAAGTAATCCTTATTCTTTACTCAGCATTAGTGAGGTTTTTGGAGAAGCAGAGGTTTTCAGCTTGTGGAAGAGGAAAAGAAGAAATTCAGGAGGAGATCAACAAAAAGAGCCAGAGGTCTGGAAAACATGACCTATGAGGGAAGACTGAACAAGCTAGGGTTATTT